ATATATATATATATATATATATATATATATATATATATATATATATATATGATGGGAGAAGATATTAGAATTTTCTCATGTTCTCTCTGGTTTTTGTGATTGCTAATATTGCATATATAATTAATATTTATATAGCATATTAAATAGCTCGCACGCTTATATTGTTCTAGTACAAACAAAATTTCGGAGTACGAATATACGAGAGTATGTGGCAACAAACGTAAACTCATCCCCTCCCACTAGTCGTCTCTTATTGATGAGCACTGAGCGATCATACAGTCAAAACATTGGGGACCTTCAAAACGATCAAATTTAACTTTGTGTTTCTCGGACCTTTCCAGATGTTTCCATTCAGTTCCGAGCCGGTGAGCGACACACACATACCACGGGTACGTGTGCCGGTGCGTTATCTATTGTTCCTCGACACAATCAAAACATTCGGAACCTTCAGGGCGGTTAAATTTACCTTTGCGCCTCGCGGACTTTTCCGGATATTTTCATTCAGTTCCGAATCATCGAGCGTCACATACACATACCATAGACTACGTATGTCATCTGTTATCTATTGTTTCTCTTGGGCTTAAACTATTTCGTCGGTCTCTTGAGATACTCTCTCGTCGGCATCGCGTTATTTAAAACGTGTATTTTCGATTAAATCACGTTTATGTGAGTGTCAGTGTCAGTGCCACGACGGAGCAGCCAGGATGTTAGGTCGAGAAGCCAGGACAGAGGATGCAGGACTGCAGGTCATCATATATTTTCAAGGTATGCCAAACCATTTATTATACCGGGAGTACCCGTTTTTAACAGACTTTCAACGTACTTATCGCAAATAAAAAGTCCGAAAACCTGAGTTGAAATCTAGGCCGACATTCATAACATATCATCATTTGGCATATAATTATAGCTTCATTAAACTATGATTATTCGTCAATCTGTGTTTGTATATATTACATTGTTTTTTATACAAGAAATATATTAATTTAAATAAGAAATATATTAATTTAAACTGAATAACGGTTTATAGATACAGATCTATATTCTTTATTAATGATCTTAAATAGTTCGTAACTATGAATAGCGGCCTTATATAATATAAATCTTGCAAGTGCTGATTTTTAGGTTTAATAATGTTCCTTAATTCATTTGGAATGCGATCTTGTTTACATTTTCAAGCGCTTTTTTATTTATAAATTTCTTGTTATTGAATGGAATTTACATTTAAATATGTATTGGTAAAGAGCATTATTAGACACATAACTATTATATTTGTCCTTACAGCTTTATATCAGCTCTTTTGAGAGCTACAAATCTCATCAAAACTTCCATCAATCTTTTAAGTGGTATGCCTGGAAATATTTCGTGGTAAAATATTAAATTCTTTTTTATTTACTTAAACTATTGTATTTTTTATCTTATAAGAAATACAAATTAGATATATTTTGTGTCATATTTTTTCAAAATTCTTCAAAGGAAATAGTAACAAAGAGAAAAGAGAAATCTAGATATTATACTTATTTTTATACTTATTTTTATTATACTTATTTTTATTATTTCTATTATTCTCTCTTATTTTTATTATTATACTTATTTTTGAAAAATTCGTTCTGGTAAAAATTGTACAGTCATTTTAAGTTATCATTGAAGAGATTAAAAAAAATGAAAAAAAATGAAAAAAACATTAGGAAGAGATGAGATTGAGTTGTTCTTTGTACACATTTCTCCATATATTAATCCTTATTAATTAATCCAACATCTGCTAATCTCTCACGCACTCTCTACTTGTAACTAAATAAATTATTTAACTAATATATGGAAAAAAATAATTTTGCTCTTTTAGCAAAATCGTCGTTGCTACTGCATATTCGTAGTGACAAAAAAAATTTAGTTGACGTAACTAATTTTACAAATTATTCGTATTATCAGAGTAGAAATAATTTCGTTGCCAGGATAGAAAAAACTTGTTGAGTGTATTTGTCCTAAGAATCATGTTGATTTGCTATTGATACAAAATAATGTATCCTTAGCAAATTTATTTGCTATCGAAGCAAAACTGCAACTGTTTATATAAATCCATCGTGGTTCTTATAGCAAAATAATTTATTGATTCAGCAAATTATATCTAGCAAATAGTGATTAGTACTCTTAACAAATCTTTTTGCTGTCCATATAATAACGAAAAGATTTTGCTAGGCCAGCAGAAAATTTGCTGGGCTAGCAAATTAGTTTTCTCCGTGTACCTACATTGCTGACTGAAATTAATAATAATAGTTTCCGCGTTCGAATATAACCGTACTTTATCAATGCCCAATTACATGTCTATATTTGCTAATTAATATGGTTTTACGTATCGAATGCACTCGCGTGTGCGTAATTTTTTCGATATTTCTCTCACGAAGGGAGATACATCGAGAGAGTTTAAAGCGGCCCCAAGATTCTTTCCAAGGTAGGTAGGTGCTAAGGTAAGTGGTGAGAGTGCCGCTTACAATTCATGTTTTGATCTCGTTGCTGGTTGAAAAATTCGTCGAATAACATACGTAAGAGCGATGTTACGTGGAACGTTCCACGATTCATCGATTATTCCAGGGGTCACAATTTCGAATGATTCCATCATTCGTATCTGATCTTTCTCACGCACGCACGTTTCGTATTTCTCTTTCAACTCGTGACATTTCTGATACGATATTGTTTCCTCGTTCGAGTACAGCCATATTTCGCTCATTTCCAAACATGTATGTTCACATTTGCCAATTTGCATTTGCGAGTTATATATTAATAGTCATTTGCCCATTAATATATAATTATAATATGGCAATGAGCGAATGTTGTTTCTGTGCATTCGATGCATCCGGACGCTTAATCCTTTCGACATTTTCTTCGCAAAGCGCGATACATCGA